AAACCAGCCTTTTATGCATCTTCCCTTCCATCTATCAAAGGCCATAAATTTGACATCACCGTTGAGACATGGAGGCAGCCACCTTTAGAGGTCTGTCACTGTCCAGCCCTCCACCTCTATGTTCATGCCACTACTCTGGTCAGGTCTTCTGAATAATTTTTCTGTGGACCACCCAGCATTAGATGGAACCCAGAATCACCTCACAGAAATTCCCCTTCGTGTCCACTGAGTAACTTGAAACTTCAGGAAGGTACATTTCGCTTTGAGGACATTTCTCCGATTCCACCTCACATAAAACCCTTAAAACCTCGTGTGCTCCTTTATCCAAGAGCAGTAGGGGGTAATCTGGGGTATGATTGCATTTTTGCTAATTAAAGCTTAGACCATGCTTCTTAGAATTATTAACAGCCATCATAAGGATAATAGTCCGTGCACTAAAATAAGCCCAACTTACATTTTTGTTACTGTTTTAATTACGCAAACCCTCTGGCATGTGTATAATGATGAAGGGCCTGGTGGGATACTGCCACTCAGCCAGGGGTGGTCACCTCCGTGGGACACTCTTGAGTAAGTCTGGGTGCCACCCTCCGGGTTGGGTCACCCTTTCTGAGGAGGCTTTTTTCACCTCATGCCCCTGTGTTGCATGGGTGGCCACTCCCACGCCCCCTTCCTCTTCCTCAAATCCAGAATGTGCTGTCCGATTTGGAGACCTACCAGAGGGGCTTTGCATTTTCCAGATTTCAGTTAGAGATTTTGCTAATCTATTGTATAGGAACATGGGAGAAGGTGATAAATGGCTTATGTCCCTGGTAAAACCATCTCTGTTCCTGATTCCCCCTTTACTGTCAAAGATACCGTAACTGTCTGCTTTTTTTGTTGTTGTTATTGTTGACTCACTCTTTGGTCCTTGGTATGGTAGAGTGCTACGGTGTTACAGCTCACAGCAACCTTCAACTCTTCCACTCAAGCAATCCTCTTGTCTTAGTTTTTCTCTTTTTAGAGACGGGGTCTGGCTCTGGCTCAGGCCGGCCTCAAACTCCTGAGCTCAGAGGATCCACCCTCCTTGGCCTCCCAGAGTGCTAGGATTACAGGCGGGAGCCACCATGACTGGCCTACTCTCTACTTTTATCAGTCTCAAAAACACATCATCTGAGCTGTGATGGTGCTGAGAGGTATCCACCAGGGGGACAGAGGCCTCTTGATGGCCCAGCATGCAGTCAGATGGATAGAATCGTATCAGAGTATGAACTGCATTCTGTAAGCCCCTTAGTTCTGAAAACTAAGACCCTTGGAGGCTAAGTGATTTGCCTGAGGTCACACAGCTCATTAGAACTGGAACCAGTCTAAACCCAAACTGCACCTCTCTGTTGCACCCTACTGACCCACGACTTGAGTGGTTATGGACACTTCTCCTAGGTGAGAAAGACGGCAAAGGTAGGATGTGAACCGAGGCACAGCCGGCTGCCTGGTCATGCATATTCATCAGACTGCTTTTGAGTAATTACTATATGGTTGCCACAGTGGAAAAAGACATCCCCTGCCTCAAGGAGTTGCAGTCAAGTCCAGGAGAGAGACATGGAAAATTAAACACAGTGTGACACCCTGGCGTGCTAAGGAAAGGAAACAGCTTGCTTGGGGAGCCCAAACCCAGCCTGGGGCGGTGGGGAGGTGGTGACAGGGAGGCAGCGACTGCTAAACTGAGACTGGTAGGAAGAGCGAGTGTGGACAGAGGAGGAAAGCGTGCCAGATGCACTGCCGGGGCTCAGAGGGGGAGCCTTTTGTAATAAACATACCTGCTTCTTTCCCAAGTACTTTCTCCCAGATTCCTTGTTGTCTACCCTTTGCTGGGGCTTTCTGAATGCAAGCTCACCCGAGCGCCTCCTTTACTTCTAATTGAACATTTGGACTTGCTTGATTATGTATTAAGTTGGGGACCTGGAGCGACATTCAGGCCTGGGCTCACGTTGAGATTAATTTATTCCTGTAGTCTTCCTGTTCTGCGATGCGTCCGAGAGCCTCACATGTGTGTTAAAAATAAAGCTGAGAGTCAGGGCGATCTAATTAGATGGCTTAACCCAGCACTCTGGTGCTCGGTCTCCACCAAGCTCTCCTGCTTTGATGGTAACCAAAATAGATGAATAAGTTAATCAAAGGTCTGATTAAACAGCACAGCTCTGCGGCACGGGCTGGTGATTGCCAAGCTTCAGTTCAAGGCAAATTGTCAGGGGAGAAAAGGAACCGAGCTGAGTTCCAAAGGCCAGGGCTTTCATGAGGAAGAGTTTTGTAAAGCACACTGGAGGGAATTGCTCACCAAGTCCTCAGATCTTAAGGTGACAGCTAGTCAGGAAGCTCACTCCAAAAGAAGGATAATGCGTCTGGGGAAAGAACACAAACCTTTCCCTGGCAGACTCTGCCTATAGCTTTCTATCTTGCTTGGTGGGAGATTATAGACAAATCCCTGTCCTGCCTGTGCCTGGCTGCTGTTGGTCTGTTGATCCATCCATCCGTCTGTTCCAGATACGTATTTTGTCCCTAGTAAATACAAGGCATTATACTTTGATCATCACTGGTTTATGTCCTGTAGCAACAGTTTGACTCTGCTGATTGTATGAGGTTTAACCCTCCAGATCTTTCAGCCCTTTTGTGCCACAGGAGGCTGGTGTATAAAGACTGTGTCCCCACTCTCGCTTGTCCTCTGGCTTCTGTTTGGGTTGGCCTGAGGGACACCCTCCCAGGACATCTGTGGATAGGAGCAGAATGAAGCTGAGATGTTTTCCCTGTCACCATCCTGCGGATGGCCACAGGTAGCCCACGCCACACTACTGTGGGTTGCTGACCCGCCTGAGTAACCTAGCGTGGTCCATGCCACTGCCCCTGATTCTGTATACATTTACTTAAATACTCCAGGTTAAAGTTTTCTTAGACTCCCCAGGTTTAAATGTGCTGTTTCCAGCCACATCCTGGCTGATACAAGTAAGTAACTGCCATTTATAAATAGTAGAGACTCAGACAGGCTTAGCAAACATTAGGTGACGTGATAATGCACTGATGCTACCAGAATCAGAGTCCAGGTTTGTCTGACTCCAGAACCTAAAGTTCTGTGCCCTGCTACGTCCCAGAGACCCTCGTGTCCAGTATGAAGCTCTGAAAGAGACGTTGGTGTCTAAATGCCAGGAACAACGTGCGGAGCTCAGGAACAGGGGCAAGAACTTAGGTTTACTGAGTGTTCTTTGCATATGAGATTCTGGAGTCCCACACACCTTTAATTTCTGCATCAGCCCTGCGATGTAGGCGTCAACTTCATTTTATTAAGAAACTGAGGCTCAGAGTGATCAAACGCTAGAGCCTAGATTCGGACTCCTGTCCCTTTCCCTCCTCCACGCTGCCTGGGGACAAGGTGACAGAGAATACAGATGTGGCAAATAGTTCCATCCATCAGTGTGTTTTCTTTTGGGGTCAAAACTAAGTTCATGTAAGCAAAGGACCGCTGGAAAACTGTGAACACAGAGTCACTAAAATAATATTGTCAATAAACCTTGATGAATGCTTAAGGTGGAGTGGGTTGGAGATGCAGAGCTGGTCACACGAGTGAGCCTGGGGAGTCCTTCCTCACTGCAGAAGGAGGACCCTCCAAGGTGGCACCCTGGTCGTGTTGTAGCAGGAAGGCTTGATTTTCCTCTTCCAGTTGCTGCCCGTGGCGGGTGGGGTGTCTTAGTTGCTTGTATTTCTCCACAACTGAGAGACTTTAACCCAGAGTCACTGATTCACCAGGATTGGACAGGGACCAGCTGAATATAAGACAGGGCCATCTGCCCCACCACACCAAGCGGGTCCCCAGAGTCTCAGCCTGTAGTACTGCACGGGTCCTTTGCAAAGCTGTCAGGAGAGGCTGCAGTCACCAGCCCCAGCTCTTTGGCAAAGGGCTGATTAATCACAATTCCAGGAGCCCCCAATCTAATTTCACCTTAGCTGTTGACTTTGTTTTAAAAAATGGGCTTATAAGGACAAAGGAGATGAGTATTTTGGTAATCCCAATCAGTTGACCGTATTTCCCATTAAAGGGTTCTATCATAAGTGTTAACCTCTTAAAAATAAGAAGTGTGCTTTGGATCCCATGGAATTCCCCATGACAGTGAGGATGGGACCCCTCCCTGGGATGATCCTGCACATCTGAAAGCTTTTAAGAAGTTGGTGTTACATTTTATTTTTGGCCTTGCCTTTGTATGCCAAATGTTACCAAAGTATGCACCTTGCTAACGACTCTGGCCACCTATGGAAAATTGATTGCTTTATTATGTCATGCAAAGATTCCAGTGTCAGCACCCTATGGGTTATTCCTTTCTTTCTCTGTGTGTGTGTGTGTGTGTGTGTGTATGCATGCACATGTATGCACGCCCTGTGTTGCCGTCAAGGTGAAGAATGTTGTCTAGGTTATGACCATGTCCTCCTTGTGGGTTTATTTGAGAATAAAGAGAAGGTAGCCATACTAATCGATTCAATTACAGCTTTAAAAAACTAAGCATAAGCTTTAACAGCACCACTAAGTACTTAGCTTTAATGACACAGACATGGAATATGATTTAAAGAAATGTACTTAACCTAGGAACCATTTGGTACTAGTTGCAAAAAATATACATAGTATGATTCAATTTCTGTGCCTTCATGCCTTCTTTTCTCATATCCTTATTTCCTTCAGCGGACCTATATCATTTCTATAATAACACAATGTTATTAAAAATCTCAGCAGAGGCTTTGCCTGTAATAATTGTTTTATCGTTATCACTTTTTCGCTCCCTTGATTCAGATACATTTTCTTCCAATAGAACTTCATGTCCCGAAATACAAATTACATAAACAAATCCTCCTAAAAAATTTATTCATTTATTCAGATTTGTATGGGATGCTTTTTATTCCCAGGTGCTATTTATAGAGTTTATGTAGAGAATTAACATGATTTTTTTTTCCTTCCCTCATCTTCCTCTCTGCCTTGTCCTGTCCAGTCTGAAGTTTCCTGGATCCCCAACAAACATTACTCGGGGATTTATGGGCTAATGAAGCTTGTCCTGACCAAGACTCTTCCCGCCAACCTAGAGAGGGTTATCGTCCTTGATACGGATATCACCTTCGCAACCGACATTGCCGAGCTATGGGCTGTGTTCCACAAGTTCAAAGGTAATTATAACCCACTTTTTATGATATCTTTATAGATGTCTACAATCCACCTACTATGCATAGTGATTGTAGTGAGTAGCCAGGCGCCGTGGCTCATGTCTATAATCTGAGCACTCTGGGAAGCCCAGGTGGGTGGATTGCTTGGGCTCAGGAGTTCAGGACCAGCCTGAACAAGAGTGACACCCTGTCTCTACTGAAAAATAGAAAAACTAGCCAGGTGTTGTGACGGGCACCTGTAGTCCCAGCTACTTGGGTGGCTGAGGCAAGAGGATCTCTTGAGCCCAAGAGTTTGAGGTTGCTGTGAGCTGGGATGCCACGGCACTCTACCCAGGGTTACAGAGTGAGACTCTGTCTCCAAAAAAAAAAGAAAAACTGAGGTCACCCTAGATTGAGGTCATGCTAATGAACATGGTTAAGGATTTACTAATATGTATGATGAAACACCAACTCTGCTACAATTTGAACCATGTTAAACTGGAATTGGTTGCATTTCTTTAGTAAATGAGGAGGTCAGGTCTATTTTCACAGGAAGAATCCAATTCAGGATGTTTCAGAACCGATGAATGTGAAATGCACATTCTGTATGCAGATAATTGAACGTTCACATCCCTGTGTCCAGACACGCGTTTATCGGTTTTCTCTTTTTATCAAGTGATCTGATTGCCAGGAAAGCCTGCGAGATTGCGGAGATGGGTATTGATTATAGCACACTTGAAAGTGTCCTCATGGATTTGCTTTTGCTAATGTTGTGGTTTATCATCTCAGGAGGTGTATCTGTTTGGCTTTATGAGACATTCTTCCTAGTCTGGTTGGTTTCTTCACGGCTATTAGTGTAACTCGTGTCACTGCCTCGAGCTCTATGAGAGTACCTGGTGGGAAGTTACGAGTCTAATAGGTGTATTTAACTCTGGCGTGGATACAGGAGAGAAGTGACAGGTTGGTGCAGATCTCGGACTGTTATTTTAATACGCCTCTCCTAAATGTGTTTCCTAAAATTACATGAGTTTTAAAAATCCTTTTCTGTGTTGGATGAACATACTGAGAAAGAAATTTGACAGTATGATTATTCTTTTTCTCTTTTTTTTCAATTGCACCCTGGCTCCTCACTTTTCTGCGTCTTCTCATAGCTCCTTATCCAGTGAAAGCGAAATACCACTTACTGAGTTTAAATCGTAACATTTTCAATAAATCTTGAGATATTCCTGTGGGTTTCCGTTTCCCTTCATGGACAGAGGGTAAATGCCTTGCCTGGTCATTGCCTCCTTCCCTTGCGGGGTTTCTTAGGTCTGGGCTAATTAAAGAAAATTCTCAGCAAATCAAGGTGATGACATTCTGATCCCTGGGACTCTTTTTTTTTTCCTCGTCGGGATTAAAATTTACTTTTCTTAGCCATGCCAATAATGATAAGAAGAAGACATCATTCAGCAAAACAGTTGAAACCGAGTGTGTCTCACCACCTGATCCCTTCTTCATAGAGTGCTTAGATCTGTCCTTTCATGTCACAAAAGGGGCTGCAGGGCTTTGCCCAGAGTCCAGTCACAGTGAGTGTATCTTAGCTTTCATCAGCTGTTCTTTCAAAGCCCCCTCACATTTTGGCTTGTTTTTCTCTTTCTGATCACATGGGACTCACTGGGGGCAGTTTCCTGTAATTATGTGGTGTTTTATTCATATGTTTATGCTGATGTTCAGCCATGTGTTGATTCAACAGGCATTGATTCCATCCCAACCGGGGGTTAGGCAGCAGGTCTGGCTCTGGAAACGAGGATGGGTGATGAGGGGACAGGGAGAGTTGTCATTTCTCCTGTGGGGGTTAGAGAAGATAGTTAGCAAAGGATCCCACAGGAGGTGGTAATGGTCTTCTGTCTCATCGGGAAAGAGTGGTGGTTGTGTATAAGGGATTCCCACATCCCCCTTTGGGGAGGAAGGACGTATTCCTGCTGAGAGAACTGCCGAAAGAGGGAGGGCCCTAGGTATCAGCCCTCCCCGGGGATGGCCTCAGTTAAAAGGAGTCACTTTGCTTGTGGGCTGGACCTGCAGGTCAGCTGTAGTGCTCCTTGGAGACTGCCGCCCAGGCTGAATCCCCTCTTTCCAGTCCTGCTTTCTTGGTTTCTGCTCTTCCCTGTCCTAGGTGGTGTTCCCAAGAGCTGTCCCTAATAAACCTTCTACATGCTGCCTTCCGTCTCAGAGTCATCTTCCTGAGAAACTCGCTGCAGGGTACATCTAGAGCTGTGAGTCTCCGTTGGATGAGTATAACCACCAAGGTCAGGTGCTCAGAAATGATGGAGCTGTAGCTGGGGAATCATGTTTATTCTCTTCCAGCTAAGACAGGCCATTATGCTAGTGGGGCTCTGTAGCCAATAACAACACTAATAATTATGGTTCTAAATACCCCGACGTGACACACGGAAGGGAAAACACCAGCACACTTGCCTCTCCCCAGCAGGCTCAAGGCCTTGGAGGACTCTGGGACTCAAGGCAATTGCTGGGGCTGAGCAGAGAACATGGGCCAAGGTCAGGATGGGGGCAGAGAAAATTTGAATGCAAGGAGCTGAGTTAATGGGCTGCATTCTATTTGTTCCTTCTTCTCTTGGTTTATTTCTAGCGTCTGTTAGGCCCCCACTGTGCAGAGAAATATATTAGATGTTGTTACCTGACGCCATGGAGAGCACAGCACCTGCTTTCAAGGAACTCACAAACACGGCAGCCTGCGCTACGTTTTTATCTATTGCCGTCAAAGGAGTATAAAACATCCGAGGTTTTCCCATGCCTGCCCTAATTTTTCTGGGAAAATACAGCGGTGAAAAGAAAATAACTAAGCTTATCTCTTCTTCATACAACACTCTCCTTTTTTTAGTGGGGGGTGATTTGTTTTATCTAAATTATAACTATTAGAAGCCAGGTCTTGGAACAGGAAGAAAGCCTCTTAGGATAGATTCATACATATAGAATGTACTGGTCCAAAAGAAGAGAAAGGGTTCCCCTCTCATAAAGGCAATTGCAGCTGACACCTCTTACCATACACATTTTGAGTGACATTGAACTTCTTTGACCTTGTTAATTTTTCTGTTTTCGAAAAGCGAGTTATCTGGAACTGCAGTGGCTCTTGTGTTCAAATCATGAGGTATTTCTCTTACTTGGTGGATGTCCTGATGTCTAGTTGTCCAAACCTCAACCAGGTGGTCCCTCATACAAGAAGCTTGTTTATGTTGGCAGACACCCTTGTGGCTCTTGTCCTGTCTGTGTCCAGTTTATTCCTGCCTGGCCATCACTCAGGCACTGGAGCTGGCCCTTGGGCTGTCCCCTGCATCCTGGGCAAAAGCTTGGCCTGGGGCAGCCCTAGTTCTTCAGATGCAAGGTGAAAATTCAGTTTACTACCACAGCGGAGAACAAGTTCAAAGTTTATTACTTACAGATCTGGTATAGGAGGGCACAGCGAATCACAAAGGCCGTCTCTGTCCCCAGGTCACATGAGGCAGAAACAAAGCATCAGAAAGAAAGAAGGAGAGAGAGAGAGAGAGAAAGGGAGAGAGAGAGGGAGGGCGGGAGGGAGACTTGTGCACCAATCAGCAGTATAAATAAGGGAGTAGGCTGTGGGTCACTAAGTTCAAGGGTTGATGCCTGAATGGTCCGTTTAAAGGCAGGGGCAGGAAGGCAGGGAGCCCAGGCTACCAGACAGGAGAGATGCCTCTAAGGTCTTATCTCTGGCTACCAACTTGAGCCATTTGGGTGTAGCGTAGAACTAGAAATTGTCTCAAGGGGGACCAATCCCTGCCCTGGTTTGAGAAAGTTAAACATGTATTACAGATGGATCCGAGGCAACAGGAAATTGTAAGAACTCACTGCAAAGACAAACCCCATCTCTGCTTCTGTGAGTCTGTATTTGAGTGGAGGGAGAGGAACAATAAACAAGGAAAATGTGTGGTGTGTTAGAGGTGTATCTAGGGGAAGAGTGGAGAGGCCCTGGCACAGGGAATAGCACGTGTCGACTTCTGAAGTGCGTGGGGCCTGTCTGGGGAAAAGGAGAGGATGGAGGGCAGAGCAGAGCAGAGCGAGCCAGGGGGTCTGGGGGCTGCTGCCAAGGTCAGATCCTTGTTTGTAGACACAAAGATAACTTTCCCTTTCCTTTAAGTAATTGGGGAGCCACTGTCAGGTGTCTAGCAGAGGTGTGACACAATCTGATTTATGTTGCTAATGGCTCATCCTGGCTGCCCTTTTGAGAACAAGAAAGGCAGGGAAACCATTCAGGACACCATCACAGTCATCCAGGTGAGAGAGGATGTTGGCTGAGACTCGGGTGCAACAGGAGAGGTCATAAGGGTCATCACATTAGGGGTGCAGGTTGAAGGTCAAGTCCGCAGAATATTCCACTGATTGGATGTGGGGAATGAGAGAGAGTGGGGGACAAGGATGACACTGAAGTCTAGAGGAACAGGTTGTGGAGAAGACAAGGGGTTTGTCCTGTAGCAGGTGACACAGTGAGGAGGCGGGCAGATAAACTGGTATTTGTAAAGCAGAGGAAAAGTGATTACCAAATCTTAAGTGCTTCTTCTGTTGTGAGCATTGAGTTAGAAGCTTTGCACATTTGAAAATTCAATAAACTGGGCCCAAGAGAGGTGAATTTACTTATTATGCTCAGAGAGCTGTTTCCTGGCAAAGCTGAGCCCCACATCGTCTGGCTTTGGGATCTGTGCTCTATCTACTGTCTGGTGGAGGAGGGTATGGCCCACCGACTCCAAGGCAGTGTCAGCTCTTTGAGCAGGTGTGACTGCTGGCTGTGACCTCCCTAGGGTCCCACCTTCCTTACTTTTAACTACTCAAAGATTTGGAAATAATATGTGATCGTAGCAATTTGAGGAGGCTGTTGTGAAGGTGTAAATAATAAATGCACACCCATAATTTGAAGTTTTGGGGAGAAAGCCATGCTGAATATTCAAGGCAATTGTTTTTATTACAAAATATTAAGGGAGTACCAATATTTTTATCCCATGGATACCTTGCAT